CAGCCCCAGGAGGGAGGCAGCTGGCTCTGCACGCCCCATCCTGCTCCTGCCAGGCCGCAATATAAAAAAAGTTTGGGAACCACTGATCTAGTCCAACCCCCTGCTCAAAGCAGAACCATCTTCAAGTAGATCATCCCAGCCAAAGCTTTGTCCAGCTGGGTCTTAAAAACCTCCAAGGATGGAGCTTCCACCACCTCTCTGGGTAACCTATTCCAGTGCTTCATTATCCTCCCCATGAGAAAGTTCTTCCTAATATCTAACATACACTTTCCTTGCTGCAAACTGAAAATGAGCATTTGTTAATACAAAGAAAAAAAAAAACACTTATTTGGGCAGGTGATACTGTATGCATCAAATAGCTCATCTAAATATTCAATACTCAGTACTAAAACACATAATCTCTGTACATTTTTTAAGGCCAGAAGGATTTAACTGACACATCTAGAGGTCATTGCTCCAGTGATCAGTACATAAAATGTAATTAATTCAGTTAAAATAAACCGTCTGTTATACTGATTATGCCAAGATCTATAATTTGAATAAAAAAGTAAGTTAAAATGTTTCCACATCTGTCCCTTACATAAAAGAAAAAAAGCTATGCACAATTACTTTTCATAACCTTTATCTATCCATTTTAATTTCAAGCTACAACTTTTGCTGCTATTGAGTTCAGAAGAGCAAAAAATGCCTGCTGTTTCAGATGTATCAGCATATTGAAAGTGAGCTTTTTTTCAGAGAATTCAGATTACCAGAGAATTAAAGCATTTGTTAATCCGCTGCACAAAACTATTAACTGAAGAGTGTTTGGATTATGTACAATAAAGTTACATTTCCAAAGAGTAACTTTATAGTTTCAGTTTTAAAGGCAGTTGAGCATAACAACTTCTGGAAAAGAAACTGTATTTTATGATGTATACTAGATGTAATAATTGAAAAAGTAGTTGCTACAACTTTCCATGCCCAGCCTTCATTTTGACAGACAGAAGTAAATGCAGGGCACCACCATGTGGCAACATATCACTATTTAAATAAAAGAATCTGACACCTTGTTCACAGTTTTGGTTTAATTATGAAGTACATAACTTAATTTTGCCACCTTAATATTCACATATTTAAAAAAAAAAGTCTTCATGGGAAAGTTGAGAGTTATACAGAAGCTAATATTTGACAGGGAAACCAGTTTTAAGGCATTGTGGATTAACAAGAAAATATTTAGATTTTATTTTTAAAACCTAATAGTAACATGAAATAAAACTGCCCAATTTTATGCTGAGAAAATAGGCTGATCTGTTGCCAATCTATATTACATTCTCTTGTAATGATAAATGTGCCTTAAACATACTCAGCTGGATCACACACAGAACACTGGCTACTTTGCATAATTAAAATTTCCACATTTTAAACTAACACTATGTTAAGACAAGTGCCTTGTTTAAAAAGCAGATTAAAAATAATTTAAGAAAAGAAAAACCACTCTAAAAACAGCATGGTTTGATTAGCATATATGCACAAAGGAGTTAATAGTTGGTCTATTGCTATAAAGCTGCTTTCCTTTGCATTAAAATGAGGATTAAAAAATCCAAAAACAAAAATAATCTCCAGATACCCTATATGCCAAATTATGCCTTGCTGCACATAGGTACAGCAAAACTCTTAGAATAAGTGGGTAAATTAAATCAAATGGCTCTAATTGAAACAGTATAAACAGAGCTGTTTTAATTACTGTACAATTGCAGAAGACAGTAAACATCTAAACCAGCATGTTTTGGAATTAGCTGCTTCAAGAGTTAAATTAGCATGCATTAAAAACATACATGTTAGAGACCCACTGTATGCACGTCAACTGAATCCAACCAAATTATGTAAAAACTAGGCCCTGAATGCTTAATTTAAAGTGTGGCCTTCCAGGAAAAGCTTTCAATTCCCCACTGCCACATGTCTGCCACCCCTTAGCTTGAGCTCTGCAAGAGGCTACCCTAGCAGAAAGCTCTGATTGGACTCGCAGGAATCTGCACGTTAGAAGGAATTATGTGCACAACACGCAGGCATTAAAGGAAGGCAGGAAACTCACCTCAATGCACAATCGATGGGGCCCTTAAAAAGGTAGGAAGCCTGTGACCCTACAAAGAGCTTAAAGATGGCAAACATTTCCAGTACAAACCCTTCAGATACAGGGGATTACTCCTCTCAACCATAGCCAGTTGCTCTGGAATGACATCTGACAAAACTTCAACTCACAGCGCATGTTAATATGTTGCAAATAGAGACAAATGCAGTCCAGCATTCACTCGTGTACAAAGCTTCTTTCTTTCTTCTTTTAAAAGTCCACTAAACCTGAAGTTTCAGAGCCCAGCAGCCTGTATGTCAAGTAATGATCATTCTGGGGTTTTAAAAAAAACCCCAAAACATTAAAAATGTTTTTAAAAGTCACTTCTGGACAGTACCAGAAGAGGTGATATGTTGGGCAAACATGCAGCGTAGCAGAAGCAGGATTCTGAAGGCACAGTTTTTGAATAAACAGGGTAAAGATCCAGCAGGCACATTTCTGTTTGCTGTGACATATATATATATTCAATACAAGCTGTCAAAATGCACTCTACCAGCTGTGTCTCAACTAACCTTTGTACTCTTAACATTTCCCACTGCTGACACCACAAATGCATCTCCAACTGTTAGCAGCAGCAACAGTGGGAGCCTCGGTAGGGACAGGCCTCAAGTTTTAACCACTCGATCACTTAGCCCTACTCCAAACAGGAGTCCCAGTGTATAAAGTGTCAGTAATCACAAGTGCCTGTTGACAATTGCATCTCCCGAACTCCCTACTGCTAACACCAGTGGAAATACTAGAAGTCTCCTAACATAGAGAGACCTCGGAGCAGAGGTATCATTTCACAAATGATACGGATGAGAGACAAGTGCTTGTAGCATTCATGTCCCACAGGAGAAAACACTGAGCACACTGCATTCAAAAGCTTCTCCAAGTCTATCCCAACCATGCAGTTGCTCCACTGAAAGATACCACCCACAAAAAAAAACAAAACTCCATCCCTCTTTCATGAGAATAATTTCAAATGGCACAGATGAGTTTCTTGCGAGTAACTGTTCTGCATAAGGTGGCAATGTCTGGATTATTTTGCTTTAAAAATAACGTTGTCATGAAATACGGAACCACCTTTAACTATTCACGAAAACCACCGCACACAGCAAACCGGAAAGATTGCTTCAGGGTATCTGAAAACAATAACTGCTGATTGCAGGAGAAAGGGACAGTACTTTTATCATTTTAAAGTAAGATGATTACCAACTGCTGGGTCAACTAACAACACAAAATGTTACTCTCATGCCCACACATTTCTGTTCCTCCCCCCACTCTTAATGCCGTCCAAAACAAACCAACACAACTATGTGCACAAATCACTTCAAAGGTCTGTGAACACTCAGAATATGACTCCAGGGAACCTGGACATGATGACAAACAGAGCGCTTTTTACTTGTCCGGCAGCGCCTGCCTCTGCACCACAAAGGACGCAGCCACTCGCAGTTCAAAGCCCCCTGCAACATCCCACAAGGAAGAGAGGTTAAGCTACTGTCAGTGTCCTGACGTCCCAGAAAGGGCTGTGCCTGTCCCATTTTGGATTCAGGAAAATATGATCTTTACCTGACTCCGGGACTGAGCTATGACTGGATATTCACTGATCACATTTGCCTGCTTCTTTTCACAAGTAGCTTCCATTTCTTGCACGGGCTCAGACCAGAACCTGGCCACAGTATCTGAAGACAGACCATGCTAAACTGGAGGGAAGTGCAGTTTTCATTCCCCCCACCCTGCAACCCAAAATTAAAAAAAAAAAACCCCAAACCTCTTACTACCTAAACCTGAGATTCCCCCCTTGAACTGGCAGCCTGCCGGCATTACAGGACTCCTCATGGGGAGACCCTCAGCGATAGATACGTTATGTAGACAAGCATATTTTAGGCTAAATTAAAACACAATGTCACACACAGCTACACTCCTACAAAGCAACCCATTGCAGAGGTCTTCTTCCTACAAAAAAAAATAAAAAAAATAAAAAGCCTTTCTTTAGAGGCAGCGCCCGGGAAGCATTAGATCAACCTTTTTAAGCTCCAGGCAGGCACCCCTCCGAAAATACCAGTGCTTAGTTTTCACTCCTGTCTTGCCTCTAAAAAAAAATAAAATAAAAATAACACAGCCATTTCTCTGTTGCAAAGTGCTCAGAAACGGGCAGAACATTTTTTTTTTGTTTTTTTTTTAACCCTGCTGCCCCTTCCTGTAAGCTGTTGGGTCCATCGTGCCCGTCGGCACTGCCTGCCCAACCCTGCCAGCAGCGCGCGGCACCCTACAAAGGATCCTCCAGCACCCCGGGGTGGGGGAGAGCGGGAGGGCTGCGCGCCACCGCAGGATCCCATCCCCGGCTGCAACCCCCTCCAGGCAGGACCAGAGCACCCCTCGCCTGGCTGCGGCACCCCTCAAGGCTCTCGTGGCACCAGTCATTCCCCCATTGAGAACCACTTGCCTGGCAGCGGCACCCCTGGAAACCTCTCGCGGCACCAGACACCCCCGGTTGAGACTCGCAGTGGACCCCGTTCCTAGCTGCAGCACTCCTGCGAGGCTCTCACAGCACCGGTCGTCCCCGGTTGAGAATCGTGGAGGCTCCTGTCCCTGGCTACTGCACCCCTTTGATGCTCCCGCCCCGGCTGAGCCTCGCAGAGGATCCCGGTCCCGCGCCGCAGTGCCCCAGCGAGGCTCTCACGGCACCAGGAAGCCCCGGTTGAGAATCACGGACCCCCCCAACCCTAGCCCAGCGCCCCCGTGAGGACCTTGCAGCATGGGAGCAGGGGGTGGAAATGCAGCCTGGCGGTGGAGGATCTCACGGGCGGGGGCAGGGGGTGCCCAGTTGAGAAGCACCAACCCCCTGGAAGGATCCGGGAGCAGCCCCAGGTGGGGGGGATGCAATCAAGACCCCCCCCCAATCTCTCACCTTTCTCGTGGGCACAGGACAGGATCTCCTCCTCTTTGGGGTTGGTCACCTGGGTGATCACGGACGGGTTGTCCATGGAAACGGAGGGGGGGCGCGTGCACCTGGCGGCTCCCTCCCTCCCTCCCCGGGCAGGTGCG